AAAGAAATCAGACACCAATCAACTCATGTATCAGCAAGAATATAATCAATTAAGAAGCGCATACAATACTTATAAGTCTATATTTACAGATGGATCCAAGGATGGTGACGCAGTTGCTTGCGCCACCGTCATTGGATCCAGAACCATATCATCCAGATTACCAAATGTCAGTTCCATTTTTACAGCAGAATCGCAGGCAATATTAACAGCTCTCAAATATATAAATACTCAGTCCAAACATAATAACTTCATCATATTTTCTGATTCCCTTTCTTGTCTTCAAGCCATTAAGAATATTTCATATGAACATCCACTTTTACACGACATTATAGAATTATTTAATGATCTTGCTACTGGCCAATATGACATCGTCTTTTGTTGGTTACCCAGCCATGTTGGTATCTTAGGTAACACAATGGCCGATGCTGCTGCAAAAGAAGCACTCAACAAATCTGTGACACCACTTCTCATCCCATATACTGATTATAAACCTGTAATCAGATCTTACATCCGAGATTTAATGCAGCAGAAGTGGGACGCCCAAGTAGGTATCAATAAATTACATGAAATTAAACCAAATATCGGTTACACCTACTTGGGCTGTCAGTCCAGATTTGAAGAGGTCGTTATGCGACGATGTCGTATTGGCCATTCAAGATATACGCAGGAATATTTATTGAAAGGTGAGGATCCTCCGTTTTGTATCCCTTGTGATGAAAGAATCACGGTCAAGCATGTCCTGCTTGACTGTATTGATTTTTCCATCACAAGGGATAAATATTTCAGTGTTAAAACGGTCAAGGCCCTTTTTAATGACGTTAATTATCGTTTAATATTATGCTTTTTAAAAGAAATAGAACTGTTTCATAAATTTTGATGTATTTAGGATATTCTTTTATAAATTGGTAGTGCTTATTTCTAACTGAGATTGTTAGTGGCTGTACCCTTGAGGGGGGTTGAAGTAGCGTAAAATTATTGTCCCCCTAAGAGGGTATGTAAGTCCCTAATCATTCGAAGTATTTGTATGCATACCAGAATTTTAAATAGTAGTATTTTCGTTATTTTAACTTCAGGCTAAACTGGTATACAATCACCAGTGACTGAAGGGATGATATAAATCCTGCCGGGGTCCATGCAGGAAGCAAAGGCACTGTAAGTCCCCATGGTCCCTGGTATGGTGATCTCCCTTTAGTTACTGACGATCTCAAGCCCATTTTTATATTGTGATGTCAACTCAATCTTTCTTCTTTTAAATGTGCCTCGACTAGTTTTAAATCTAATCTGTGATATGCTAGTTATCGTACTGTCCTTCGATGACAGGTTTTTATACAGTTTAAATATATGCATTATTTATGACCAACTTCTCGTCACGATATGGCTGCAATATTGCCGATGTGACGTTAAATTTTAACTCACTCACTCACTCAGCCTTGTGTCATAGATACTGTTTTCGATTTGAGAAACAAGACTCACAAACCGGCCAGGTGTGAAGTCTGATCTATTACAGGCTCATGTGATGTCCTGATGTTATTGTCCTGGTTATATTTATACAATTAGTGTGCCGGACACACCTATTTTAGACCACCCTTCAATTCCATTCCGTACCCACGAATGTATGAAACTTATTTGTGTCAAATTGGTGTGATATGAATACAGTAAACAACATGTTTGAAGTGCCTCTGTCTAGAATATGGAAATTGCTGGAGTTACCTCCCTTACACCACCAACACCCGAACAAGCCTGCGGTATTGGAAGGTGCGTTTGATGATGAAAATTAGTTAACCAAAGCACCCAAAAGATTCAGTCGGTAAGGGCGACCTTTGTCAACTGAATTATGACGTAAATGAGTTGACATGAGCTTACATTGGTCAACCAAAGTGAACTTGGGTTATACCTTGGTTCACCCCCGTCGGCCAGGGTTTTGAAAGGAACGCACCGTTTAGTCCTGATGGCATCTTGTCATTGGCATGGTACTCTCCAAGTGATGTCATCTGTAAAGATTTTGGTTTGGTTTGTTGTTTAACGCCGCACTCAGCAATTATCTAGCTATATAACGGGGGTTTGTAAATAATCGAGTGTGGGCCAGACAATCCAGTGATTGACATCATGAGCATCGATCCACGCAATTGGGATCGATGACATGCATCAAACCAAGGCAGCGAGCCTGACCACCCGATCCCGTTAGTCGCTTATTACGACAAGCATAGTCGCCTTTTACGGCAAACATTGGTTTTGCTGAAGACCTATTCCGGATCTTCACGGATCCATCTATAAAGCAAATTGGTTTGATTTAATGATTCAATCATGAATACAGAGATTTTAATTAATATAATTAACTAGGTATTGATTGTATATATGCCAGTGCAAATGTAACGTTTGATTGTTGATATAAATACTTCAAAAATAAATAGGGCCTGGTGGCGTCTTGTCATGCCGGGGCGCGGCTCCCTGGTTCGCAGTCTCCAAGTGACGTTATCGTCAAAGAAATGTAGTTTAATTTAATGATTCAATCATGAATAAAGAGATTTTAATGAATATAATTAACTAGATATTGATTGTATATATGTCAGTGCAAATGTAACTTTCGATTGTTGATATAAATACTTCAAAAATAAAGAGGGCCTGATGGCGTCTTGTCAGTGCCGGGGCACGGTACTCTGGTTCGCAGTCTCCAAGTGACGTTATCGTCAAAGAAATGTAGTTTTATTTAATGATTAAATCATGAATTAAGAGATTTTAATGAATATAATTAACTAGGTATTGATTGTATATATGTCAGTGCAAATATAACTTTCAATTGTTGACATAAATACTTTAGAATTAATAATGCAACTTTGATGATGATTTTGCACCTCGTTTGGTGTTTTATGCGTTATTTTGAACCTTTGCATGCATTCAATAGACAAAGATACGATGACAGCTTTGCCATGAAATGAAGCACTTGTTAAGTTCTCAGAAGCTGTGTATTTTAGCAAAGGGTTTTGGGTTTTCCGTCTCCTGGCAGCCATTATTACATCTAAGGTTGTATTTTATACGTTCTGAGTCGGATATCCTTGATGGACAGGTTAACTCCAATTTTCATTACGAACACACCTGGTACATTCTAATTGTGTATTATAAATGGATAACAATATAATAATGTTAATGAAATTATGAAAAAGGTCCAGTTTAACAGCTTCTCACTTCCCAACGAATTGTTTCACATCAAGTGTTTGTGCAGAAGTGTGAAAAGATTAGAAGAAGAAGAATATTTAATCATCTTGTCACACGATGTAAACACAAATACTACTACATATCACACCTACATGTATTAATGTACGTTGTCTCGTCAACATGGCCTATGTTTATTGTCATTATACAAGTATGTAAGTGCTAAAGAGACATGATAATAAAACATTGTATAGTTAGGGGGAAATTCAGTTTGCGGGTGAATTGTCTACGGCTATAGATTATAGTAACATCAGGGGCGAGGCCAAACATGAGCAGGTCATTCTACATTATAAAGATAGTCTGGTCAGTATAAGACTTGCTAGAACATATCGGACCAAGTAGAAAGGCATGCACCTACAAAGAAAATATTTCGTAAGTGTAGAATACCCATGTAGGTAGGAGATTTACTTCATACTCATAACCACTAGGCTACCCGACCTCCCCAGTAAGTTTGAAGATATGTGTTCATTACTTATTGAATAGGACGGTCGGATAGCCTAGTGGTCAACGCGTTCGCTCGTCACGCCGAAAACCCGGCTAGATTCCCGACAAGGGTACAATGTGTGAAGCCTATTTCTGGTGTCCCCCGCCGTGATATTGCTGGAATATTCCTAAAAGCGGCGTAAAACAATACACACTCACTCACTCACTCACTCACTCACTCACCCACTTATTGAATATCTTACCTCGTGTAGCTTATTTTGAAACATAACTTCAGCGACAACTGGCGAACTCCTCGATGTCTTCAGTGAGCCCATTCGTGACCAACTCGTGTTATACCGGGACAAGCCGAATAGCGACTCGTGCCCCTCTCATGGCCCTTTTGTACGACCGGGTTCCGTCTTAGCGCAAACGGGCATACCTAAAACAATTGTCAACTCGTTGTTTAAAGGTTCACATATATTTCCCCATATATTTTATAGATTTCAAATGCAATTTAAAGCACATCAGGACATGCGAAATTATACAGTATGATTGAACACCTTTAACTGTCTTGGGTATATTTTAGAGGCGAGACACATGTAAAATCAAGAATTATTGCTGAGGGAGTCTTTGACGAAGAACTTGAAATCATACGCGCATTCTGATTGGGTTGACCTATTTTCGCACATAACATTCATCGATAGGGGGACGTGTCTTCTTGCAGTTTAAACGGGTGACCCAGTCGTCTAAGGCGCCGCGATTCGTTGTGCAGAGTTGCGTCCCTTGGGCACGCCAGAAATCTATGATTGTGGGTTCGAATCCCGGTTCGCCCCGATTATGTTTCTAGGTTTGTCAGCACCATACCCGTGCTCGTGGGTTTCACCGAAGTGGTAAACATGTGAGACCTGCATCACTTCGGGCTTTCCTCCCACATTAAGCTGACACGCCGTGATATAACTGGAATAATGTTAAAAGCGGCGTTAAACCCAACTCACTCACTCAGTCACTCTTGCAGGTTACGGAAAGGAGCGAGTGGTGACGAATGCAGTGAACTTTGAAGCGTCTATCTTCATTACGTCATAAAGCGCATGGTAATGTATTGTTAAAGAACTCGAAAAGAGTTGAGGCTCAAAAACATCTTACGTGGGGGTACATGCATGAGCTTTCTTTGGGTAACTGTACCTGAATCTGAAAACTATTTGTTCAATGTCTTTCATATGTCATCCCAACTTTCAGATAAAATGGCGGCTGTGAACGTACAACAAGCTGAAAGTACGTCAGGGTTTGTTGACAACTGGCAAGCGGGGAAGACCCTTGCTGAATGCAATCTACGCATGTTCGATGCGGAAGATCTTTATGACGTCACATTTCGTGTTGGAAGTACAGGCCATGTGATCAAGGCCCATCGCTACGAGCTCATCAGCAGAAGTTGTGTGTTCCACGCCATGTTTACTGGCCCCCTGGCGGAGACGTCGGAAGTCAGTGTTCCTGAAATAGAGCCTAAGGAGTTCAGAGAGTTTCTCTTGTAAGCATTAATCATTACAGTATTACAGAACAGAATGAGAGACGTAATGATTATTGAAAACCTCTTCAAAGCAGCATTAAATTCACATACAACTCCAACGGCGAGAACATATGTCAACAATGAAATCAAATATTCTGGCATGCAAATTTTAACTGATCTTAAATACATTTAATGTTGAGCGGTAGTATTATCTTTTTTCAAATACTGCATCATTTGGCAGCAAAATTGTTCGTACTCCTCTCCTTCTTCAGATACCTTTACACAGACAACACAACTGTTGATGCTGACAACGTAACAGCTCTACTGTACGCCTCCAGAAAATATGCCATCACCGCCTTAGAATCCCAATGTCTGGAGTTCCTGGAGAAACACCTCAACGTTGACAACGCCTGTGTGATTCTAGATGCTGCTCATCGTTTTGATCAAAGCCAGTTGTTTCAGAAGGCCTTCACCTTGATTAAAGATACAGGTGAGAGGTCACTACAGTCATCTGGTTTCCTGACACTGAGCCAAGTGTTGTTGCATCAGATTGTGGAGTCAGATGATCTGTCAGCCGAGGAGCACGTCATCTTTAACGCCGTTAACTGCTGGGCAGAGGCAGAGTGCAGACGTCAGGGAAGGAAGGTAACTCCTGAGATCAAGCGAACAGTTCTTGGAGAAACATTACTGAAAGTTAGATTTCCTCTTTTGAAGCTAACGTTCCTGGCTAGGGACGTTAAAGCCAGTGGTCTCTTGACTGAACAGGAGCGTCTCACGATCCTTGAATATATTGGATGCCCTGACAATGATGTGAAACCCTTCAACACTAAGCAAAGACAACAAAGAACCCCGCATTCCATAACAAGGTTTTCATCACAGAGTAATAGAGGCTGGAATGTTTTTTTTTTTAGAAATGATGCCATTTCCTTCCAAAGCAGCCGAAACCTGATGCTCTGTGGATACAGCCTGTATGGGCCTTCCCGTAAGACTAAACCCGCTACCTGCTTTGTCACCACCTACTTTGGGAACGAGGAAGATGTTTTCCAGTGCACGATTCAAGATAGAACTGAGTACAAAGTCAACAGTCAAGTGTTTGATGTGGTGTTTGAGAAGTCTGTTGCTATGACAGCGGGGGTGTGGTATACTCTGGCAGTGTATATACAAGGCGGTGATACGTGGGAAGGAGAACATGGACAGAAAAAGGTATGTGCTGACGGGGTTCGTTTTACCTTCAGGAACTCACAACACAGCTCGAATAACACTAGCGTCGACCAAGGGCAGATTCCATCTCTCCTCTACCAAGTTGCATGAACATTAACATCCAGAGGACAATTCCTTATATATATATATATATATATATTCTTTTACAAGTGTCATAAAAAAAATCGTAATTGTGTTACACATTTTCGTTACCTCACTTACAACATAATTTAAATTGCTTCACTCTAGCATATTGAACATGCAGAGGCTTACACCTCCCTTACACCACCTCCCAAACTGCAGTATTTGTGTCGCGATCTGATGACGTTTTGTCAGTAAATAGTAATTCTGGACACTGAGTGAATAACAATATAATGACGGTAATGAAATAATGTCACTTCAGAAGCCATTCGTGACCAACTCGTGTTATTCCGGGACAAGCCGAATAGCGACTCGTGCCCATCTCATGGCCATTTTAGCGACCGGTTTCGTTTTACCACAAACGAGCATACCTAAAACAATTGTCAACTCGTTGCGTAATGGTTCACACATTTCCCCATACATTATATATATTTCAGATGCAACTTAAAGCACATCGGGACGTGCGGTATTATGCAGTATGATTGAACATATTTAACTGTGTCTTGGGTTTATTTTTAGATGCGCGTCATATGTAAAATCAAACATTATTTCTGAGGTATGCTTTGACGACGAACTTGAAATCATAGGCGCATTCTGATTGGTTTGTCGTATTTTTGCACATAACATTCATCGATAGGGGGACGAGTCTTCTTGCAGGTAACGGACGAATGTTGAGAAGCTGCACACTTTCCAACTTAAAAAATAACAATGTTTCACATCAGTTGTTTCTGCAGCAAAGTGAAAAGATTAGAAATCTTCAAGTTATTTGCTTTTCCACATGTGATCATATAGGCCAAGCTGGCGTCACTGATTACTTATAGTCGGGAGATATGATGGAACATATTTGTGCAAAGTACATTGAGAAGAAACATTAAGAATTAAGTGGAACCGAATACGTTCATTATGTCCTATTTATATCCTATTATGTCAGTGATTAAAGCCATAGCACTTTGTACATAGGTCATAGTTAGATGGTGTGCGTTCCATCAAATATGCTTGAATGCATATAGGCCGAAGTAACACTAAGTCTTTAAAGAATAAATTAATAATATACATGTAATTAGCAGTAGTCTCCACAAAACATTCCCTCTCACACCTTGTGCCATCATAATAGTTGTTATTATATCTGAATAAAAGTGACATACTGTAAAAGCAGGGTTGATTTACGATTCCGACTCTTTCATGAGCATGCGTTTATGAATCACAGAACATAGGACAATATGGTACATGTCAAAATAGGGAATTGCATTGGACATCATTCTTGTAACTAATGCGTCAAATTTGGAAATGTCTTCCTCGTGTCTACTTTAAAACTTTTTTAAAGCCTTGAATGTTGTCACTCTGATCAAACAACATTTCTAGACACAAAGGGCTGAGGCTGCAGGATATTGCTCGACATAAAGGGAAAGTTGACTATTGGAAAGTAGAAGTCAACTCTCGTCTCATACAGTCTTGTGGAGAGTGTTTTGTCACTCTGATTCTTTAAGCATAGATCTGATCTCACTGGTCTCCTTTATTTCTAGTTGGTTATTGATAGATATCAGGTCGTCGACATACCTGAAGCTCAAGATAAACTTCTTGGCTTAATTACCTTGTTTGACTTTGTCATTCCGAGCAGAAAATCCGATTCATATGCATAAAGATGCCGATCAGCAAGAAGGGGAGCACAAAGGGTGCCCATGGGTATGCCTACTTTTTGCCTCAATGTCTTACCCCCAAATTTTATATAGATGTTATCAATGAGGAAGTCCAGCATTTCACATATTGTTTTGTTTTCAGTTAACTTCAGATGGCACTTGCTTTCATCTTTGACAAAAAAAATTCTTAAGTCATATGGGATATTCGAGTACAAAACGAATACTAGTATTAAGGAGTAATTACGTCACTATAATTAAATTCAAGCAAAGAAGTAGAGTGGAGGTCATACACGCTGGTGTTGGATCGGAAAGTCAAATTTAGAAAAAGAAACAGTAGAACCGTGACATCGACTAACGTCACGCGACCGCGACATCGAATGGTTAGAATCACAAAAACAAGATTTCTTTGTTCGTTTTTTTAACGCCGCATTCAGCAATACTCCAGCTATATGAAAGGTATAGCCTTATACACGTAATGAACAGCAGTGTCGTCATCTGAAGTTATACACGTAATGAAAAGTACTGTCTTTGTCTCGCCTTATACACGTTTGTTTCTTGTTTAACGCTCGTGGAAGTGACTCGATTTACCCTTTGATATAAACGACTATAAGTACACATGCTTATGTTTTCCAACAGTTAATAAGGTGACACTGACTTCCAGCCCATGTAGCTGAACACATGTAATGACAAAATGTGTGACTCACTGGCTTCTATTCTCTGCAAGTGGATCATCAATCTCATTAAAATCAGACCTTAATTCTTGCTACCGCTGAACAAAGATCTGAAGACATCCCATAAGGGGTCGCGTCAGAACGACCTTTCATCCGACTAATCAGAGCGTCGCTTACCAGATTATGAAAGTGACAGTCGGAATGTGATTTCTACCTCGAAATACATAACACGGGGTATTCCGAACGATACTTACGAGTTTAACGACTGAATCCATACAATCTAGATGATCTATTAGCCATTCCAGAATGTTCTTTTGTTCAGGTTTCAAATTTGTAATAGAGAATTTGTCAAAATATGTTTCGAAGCGTGGTCGCCAATTTGAAATTGGTGCCGTAAAGCACAAGAAAGCTCCCTTCTGATTGGTTAATCCATTGGTCGGTCAAAGTTCGCGCAAGATCGGTCTGATGTGACCCGTAATGGGATGTCCTCAGATCTTTGTTTAGCGGTAGCGACAACTAAGATCTGATTTTAATGAGATTTGTGGATCATGGCAACAGCTGGTGACTATAACCAGTGGTCACAATCATATATATATTATACATAAGGTATTTGGTAAATCACCCTTCCCTACGAAAACTGTCAAAAGCACATATTCAGATAACACTCATACAATCAGTGCGGGGTGGACAACCTTTGTACCATGATGGTTTTGTTGTTAAAGTAGGAACCTCGCTCCATGTTTGATTGTATTCTCCCGCTGAGGCCACATTCAGCAAGTACTGAACTATGGGAAATGACGTCAGAGACACGATACATTTTCCCAGATTAGACACATTAGTCATATTAGTCGCGACACACAATAAACTTACACTCACTATTCACCTGTAAACCTGAACCGAAAGTAGATCACGTGACCCACACACGGAAGCGTACACTGTCAGCGGTAACACAGTAAACAATACAGTTCGTGTCTCTTTTCCAGATATTGGTAAGTAAACGAACACGTCGGTAGGAAGTAGAGCAGCGCTTGTATCATAATAGTACTGGGTTTAGCCGTGTGTTAGATATTGTTGATTTAAGGTACAATATTCATAGGCCGCTCGTGTGTTCAGTCTGACCTATTATCGGCTGATGCATGTCCTGCTGTCATTGTCACTGTTATCGCATAGTCATACAATTACTGTGAACCGCACGCCGATTTGAGACATTTCTAATATTTCTTTCCTTGCTCACAATTGTTATAACACTTATTTAGGTCAAATTGATTGGATATAAATGCAGTAAACAACCTATTTAAAGTTCCATCGATCTTGACAATTGTGCATGCTTGAGTGGGGGATACGGTATATTGATCTTTCGTCAGTGTTTTGTAATTCTGAAGCAACATAAAAAATCAGGTGCAATTAAAATCGGTGATAAAAATTCTTACAGTTTACATATAGTTCACGCTTGATGGATTGTGTTCCAACAAATAAGCTTGAATATTTATACATGTAGGTCGAAGTATCACTTTCATTAATGAAATAAATAATATACTTGTACATGTAATTATTAATAGTGTCCTCATCTCGTAGCCTACAAAACAAGTGCTAACTGTGTGATGAATGTGGTAAAATTATATTGTTTACATATGCACAGGACTAAGTTCTAAGGCATTGGGTGTAAGTATTATATACCTTCTTATAGATATCCAAGAAAATGTTATGAAATGATGTCATTGTATGAAAGTTCCGGATGCCTAAATTGGGTCGCATCTGTTAAGAAAACAATTATAGAACTTGGTTCAATGATTAAAGATCTATGTAAAATATAATGTAATGAATAAAAAATAATGTAAAATGTAATGTAATGATTACAAATCAATGTAAAATGTAATGTAATGATTAAAGATCAATGTAAAATGTAATGTAATGATTACAGATCAATGTAAAATGTAATGTAATGATTAAAAATCAATGTAAAATGTAATGTGTAACTGAAGAATACCTTTTGACACCATTTGCAAAAGATAGAATATCTTTTTTCTCGAAAGAGATGCTCACCGCCTAAGCTTACCGTTGAACAGGGAACATACACACGAATGTTAAAAGAACACAGAGTTTGTAAAATATGCAATAAATGTGTCAAGTATGTGATCATTTGCGTATTGAATATTAAATATTGTCAAGATTATTTGCTTCCGAAATGGCAACATGTAAAAATGTGACATCATATGTATTTCATGCGATGAATTATAGAAAATGCATATCAAAGGATTAGTTGATAATATGTATATTACACTACCCATGCAATCTGTACTTTGGACATGTAGGCATTCAGCATATGTGTAAATAAAAGTTGATTAATTGAAGAATTGGAATCATATTTGAGAAACGAACATTTAGGAGACACCACTTCAATGCATTTTACTTCAAAGGAAGGGGTTAGCTTACTGAGTAATTTATTCCTAATGTGAAGGACATACTTGCCTATCTTTGAAAAAAAAGACCATTCCTCCAAATCACTTCTACACCCAGAATGGCATCTGATGGCACTATATAGACTTGTATGTGCTTTCTTTGGGTAACTGTACCTGAATCTGAAACCTATTTGATCAGACTGATGCGCCAATGCCATTCAAAAATCATGCCAACTTTCAGATAAAAAATGGCGGCTATTAACGTACATCAGGCTGAAAGTGCGTCAGGGTTTGTTGACAACTGGCAAGCGGGGAAGACCCTTGCTGAATGCAATCTACGCATGTTGGATGCGGAAGAGCTTTGTGACGTCAAATTTCGAGTTGGAAGTACGAGTCACGTGATCAAGGCCCATCGCTACGTGCTCATCAGCAGAAGTTGTGTGTTCCACGCCATGTTTACCGGCCCCCTGGAGGAGACGTCGGAAGTCAGTGTTCCGGAAATAGAGCACAAGGAATTAAGACAGTTTCTCTTGTGAGAATTGATCATAACATTTTTACATGTTAACAAAATAATATTAATAGTAACGCTACACTACCAAAAGGCTTATTTCCATTTCATTCTGGTTATCGATTCATCTGATGTAATTGTCAATGCATGAGAATAAATAACCAGTCAAGCTTATCCACCGAAACAGATTTCATTTTGGCGTTCAGGGCAAATAAGATGTAAAAGTTTAGAAATATGAATAGACCACGGAAAATCAGGTGCGCGCGAAAAAGGGTAAGCATGTCCTGCCCGACCGGTAGCACCCGCCTCTCACACAATTTGCATGAAAAAAGAAGTTTTTTATCGCCTGATGCCGCGCAGCAGTGCTCCAGCCATGCGACGACCGCCTGTAAACAAACCAGACAATCAAGTGATCGATGAACCAGACAATCCAGTGACACGCTACTGCATTTACTGAGTTTGTCGAGACAAATAAACACGATGTATTAATTTGAATTACTTTTGCTGTGTACAAGTGCAGAAATTCTGCTGCTTATTAGTTCAAATAAGACTCGATCATGATACTTCGTCATCACCTAAGACTTCTGACTTCGTTCCGACTTGCTGTGATAATCATATTTTTGAAAAACTCTTCAAAGCAGCATTAAATTCAAGCTACATACCTACATACAACTGCAACGATGCAAACTGATCATATCAATAAAGTGCAACAATTAGAGCATGAAGAAATCAACATGACTGAAGAACAATTTGCTTTGATTAATCTGTTTTCATGAACTGCATCAGCTGGTTGCAAAATTGCCCGTAGTGCTCTACTCGTTTCTTATTGTCTATGGATACAGTAGTTTCACTAGCTTCAGAGTCAGAGGCTCTTCTGTTACGATAAGGAAAGTTTTGATATAGTCTGATGTCATCTTTCAGATTCCTATACACTGACGACACTACTGTTGATGCTGACAACGTAACAGCTCTATTGTACGTCTCTAGGAAATATGCTATCACCGCCTTAGAATCCATGTGTCTGGAGTTCCTGGAGAAACACCTCAACGTTAACAACGTTTTTGTGATCCTACATGCGGTGTATCATATGGATGAAAGCAAGTTGTTTCAAACGGCTTTGACCTTTATTAAAGAAAGAGGCGAGACTTCACTGCAGTCATCTGGTTTCCTGACACTGAGCCAAGTATTGGTGAATCAGATCGTGGAGTCAAATGACCTGGCAGCCGAGGAGCACGTCATCTTTAACGCCGTCAACAGCTAGGCAGAGGCAGAGTGTGGACGCAAGGGAAGAGAGGTAACACCTGAAACCAAACGAACAATTCTTGGAGAGATTTTACTAAAAGTTAGATTTCCCCTTTTGAAGCAAAGATTCATGGCTAGCGACGTTAAACCTAGCGGTCTCTTGACTGAACAGGAGCGTCTCATGATCCTGGAATATACTGGATGCCCTGATAATGACGTGAAACCCTTCAACACAGAGCAAAGACAACAAAGAACCCCGCATTCCATAACAAGGTTTCCAACAGAATATACAACTGGCTGGGGTGTTAATGGTTTTAAGAAAGATGCCATTTGCTTCCGAAGTAGCCGGAACCTACTGCTCTATGGATACAGACTATATGGGCCTTTAAGTAAGTCTACACAATCTACCTACTCTATCACCACCTACTTTGGGAACGAGGAAGATGTTCTCCAGTGCAGGATTCAAGGTAAAACTGAGTACAAAGTCAACAGTAAAGTGTTTGATGTGGTGTTTGAGAAGCCTGCTGCTATGACAGCGGGAGTGTGGTATACCTTAGCAGTGCTGATACAAGGCAGTGATACGTGGAGAGGACAAAATGGAAAGAAAGAGTTGCTTTGTTCTGACGGTGTTCGTTTTACCTTCGGGAACTCCAAATACAGCGGAAATGGCACTAGACTGCACAGAGGGCAGATTCCATCTCTTATATATCATATTGCATGAACATGAACATTCCTTTTAGAAATAGATCGTACAGTTCTTCAAATGTGTTGCTTTCATACAAGTGATTCAGTACAAAGCCATCAGTATGTCTGGGTATTTTTGTACTTGTAAACCATTTATACATGCAATAACATGTGTATAGATTCACAAATGGAGTGTTATCGGATATACAGCTTGGATCTGGAGGGGTTGTACCCGATAAGAAACTACTCAAAAAATCTTTAATACCATCTCTGCCATCATAATGCATCCTGTGTCATCACATCTTTCCGAGGAAAGCGTGTCCACTAGCATGTATTAAAGTCTTGTTTCTACTTTCATAAATTGGCAAGTGGACGCTCTGGCTTCGGGAAGATGATGTCACCACGGCACCGCAGTCCATGGTCTCAAATATGTGAGTTGAAGTTTAACATCACATTATGTCTTAAACATGAAGCTACCATGCTCGTGTCTTCTATGCCACCCTTGTTTAATCTCTGCAGCCATGATGTCCATTATGTTATCCTGTTTTGTTTGTGAATCTGTGTGAAGTAACCTTGATGCATTAGATAACATATTGCTGGAATTCCTGAAAACGGGTTTAGATACACAAAACTGTTCTCTGGACATGAAGGAAAAACCTTTTGGCTTCTTCTTTCAGAGAGAAAAAAAAGTTGTCTCTGACAATAATCCCAACTTGAATCCCAGGCTCTCCATTATTATGACCCTACGTCTGTCAGCACCATACCCGTGCACCAAGTTAACACCTCGACGACCAGCATCATGTTGACTCATGGGCTTACATATATATTTAATTGTCTACCGCTGAATCTAAAACGGTTTAGGTACTAATTTGGTTATGTTTTATAACTAGATTTGGCATTGTAGTTACTCCTAGTGTGTCAGCTTTTTATGCTATTTTACATTTGTATAGAACGCATTTCATTAGTATTTATCAATATGTCCTCGCACATTGTTATTTAAACTGCTGCTCGTCCCTATTCTTTGAGAAACGGCAGTAAAATCTGACTTCCCTTGGACTTCTTCACGCTCTTCTACATGTTACACACATAAACTCTTTGTATGAACTCAGTTATTTGTTTTGTATTATGGATTCATGCGCATACTTTTTTTTCTAAATATAAATAAATGCATAATATTATTATAGCTATTACTGTGATCTCGTCCCGCCTAAAGTATCCGAAACTAATTACTTCAACCATTGGAATAGTTCTAAATTACAGACTTTGAATTGCAGAGCAGCAAGATATGCGAAAAAATCGAATGGGTATTTGTCATTACAATAAATAAATTCATAATCGCAAATAAATCAAATAAGTCATCTAAACATAATATTTGGGGAATATTTCACAAACGTTCTGAATATCAAATTTATGCAGCTTCTCGATCTATTAATGGAACATTTCGTCAACAACAGTATCGAGCCTCAGAACTATTGGTGTGTACTTGTCAGACGAAAAGGTTACATGAGATTTGGTGTTAATAAATCGGAATGACTGGCGGCGTTTAACCTTTAAAACAGAATATTGTAACTTCAAACTATCTTCGTCAACAGAAAGTAGCCCAACACATTTAGTTCGACCATATACATATTCTTCACAATTTCCCCACAATGAGTACATACATAATATATTTTTACACTTGTATGTACTTTTTGACAAACTGTGATATTATGAATATTAAAATTTTTCGTCATTTGTGAAGTTCACCAAAGTGTCATCAGCTGGAACTTGTCAGATAAACACGGATTCTAGCCAAGTCTGGTCGTCTTTTACATAGAATGAATACACTGATTGAGTGACCAACCACGGAGAATGAAGGGTTACAAATTCTAAAGACATCCAATCTAAATGGTGTTTACAAGCATTCACTGACAATTTCCTCCAATGAAAAAACCGTTAACTTTGGTACACAATATGGTCATTGGGCAATTGTAACAATCACAAACAAAAATTGGATCCTGTCTGTATGGTCACATCCAAGTGAGTGAGTGAGTATGGTTTTACGCCGCATTTGGCAATATTCCAGCAATATCACGGCGGGGGAAACCAGAATGAGCTTCACATATGGTACCCATGTCGGGGACGAACCCGGGTATTCAGCGTGACGAGCGGACGCTTTAACTACTAGGCTGCCCCGCCGACTCTTCTCATCCGATGATTGTTCAGATCACAAATCATATCTACAGTCAAACAACATGACAGTCTATATTCATGTCCAATGTCCTGTTAATATTAGTGGTATTTGTTACGCATTCTGAAAAGACTTCAGAATCCCCCAACTAACTTCACCTTATTAATTCTTTCAAAAACAAAACAAAAGTAGAAATTACAAAGTCACACCATTTTCGTCCTGAGACACCCATTTGCCCCTCAACACGATAATATGTTATTTTTGTATTTTAATTTATTATGTTAACAGTTAATTACTGATCTGCACCCCTAACGTTCTAAGAAATGCTAATTACAATTAGACATGGTGGGTAGCCTAAACACATATAGACAAATGTATTTCCCTGACTGTGGTAGTGTATCCCACAAAATTCTTGACAACATTCTTTACCCCAATATTAATAACATATTTAGAAGTGTAACTTTCACCATTCCGATGGGAATCATTTAAAATGAATTTGATCAATTAAGACAACTAAAAATTGCACTAAACTTCCGTGGTTTATGATTGTGTACCGCACATGATTAGATGAAAAGAAGTGAGTGAGTGAGTTTGATTTTACGCCGCTTTTAGCAATATTCCATCAATATCACGGCGGGGGACACCAAAAATGGGCTCCACACATTGTACCCATGTCGGGAATCGAACCCGGGTCTTCGGCGTGACGAGCGAACGTTTTAACCAGTAGGCTACCCGAACGCCCTAGATGATAAGAAGGATTTTCTAATTATTACTTCAAATGACATATACATGTAAATGATACTTTATAATTTTAGTCGGCATTGGTCTCCGGGAATGGGTGGCTTCTTTTTTCGTACTTCAGGAGTTTCTAGCAGTTTCCTTTTTTTCAGTGATTGATGTTGGTATGGTAATATTTGGTTTGTTGCAAGCAAATATGGTCGTCAGGATGGTTATAATATTGTTATTTTTGTACATAAATCCACCCTTTTGTAAACGTATGAGCAGGTGCATATATTAACTTAATACAGGTCATCTCCCTGAGAAATCGATGTAAAGTATAAGTGGGTGTTATTCATAAACAGGGGCGGTCGGGTAGCCTAGCGGTTAAAGCGTTTGCTCGTCACGCCGAAGACCCGGGTTCGATTCCCGACATGGGTACAATGTGTGAAGCCCATTTCTGGTGTCCACCGTCGTGATATTGCTGGAATATTGCTAAAAGCGGCGTAAAAACATACTCACTCACTCATCCACTATTCATAAACAAGTGTCACCTTTTCGTTATCTGTGATATGCCGTTCAGACCATACACGCCGGAAGTGGAGAGTTGTCCGGGGAGACAACTCTGTCGTGTTTTCCTTAGGGTTTCTCATAGACACTCTATGATTATTCAGTGATGCAATACGAATTCATGAGAATATGAATTATGAAGAGACGTGAAGAGACGTGACAGCTGACAACTTTATTTTTTCTCACAATGATGAATTACCACAAGAATGATGTTGACCAAGAATAATTGTCGAAAGATATTGATCGAAATACAAAAAATAGTAATGCCATATTTAAAAAGATTCCTAAAAGGATTTTCAAGAAATTGGAGATATAATTGTATACGTCAGAACAAAGCGTCACTTCCCTACCACCCCGGATCTACTTCTTTTCCGGGGTCTTTTCATTACTCAAATTAGTTAACGGAAGGGACAAAATACTGTTCTAACTGTTTTTTAATACTACATATGAGAGATATTGGATCGGCGGATCTGTAAACAACGTAATTACAAAAAATGCCTGAGTGTTTTTGTGTCACTGCCCTTTGAAGACCACCCGCACTTTAACCTTTTCTTCAGTTGCCCTTTTGATCAAGGGATTCATTTTGTCAATACTGGAGAGTAAACCTTTTAGAGGAATAGCTAAACCCGACGACTTACATCAGATTAGGTCAGCGTGATAGCCTGTTGATAGGACTAATAGATTTAATGTGCACAGAACGAATCCTAATCGAAGTGTGTCTGTTAAAATCTTGGAGGAAACCCGACATTGCTGGCTAATGGCAGACACCATTTTCTGGTCAGTGTGGCGGCCTTTCTAAATAGTCAGTGTGGCCGAATTAAGAGCCAATCTAGTAAATGGAATTTAGCTGACCAAAATCAGTGCCTCTATTACAGTTATGGACCGTGGATGTGGTATGGGTCAATAGTCCATTGTGGCAACATCATGGATCGGATCAGCATAGTTGTGACCACTTCTAGTCGAGTTCTCACGCCCTCCGCTGGATCAACGTTCAGACAGATTGCCTCTTGTGACAGATCTGTTGTAAACGTAATGTACTCAATCGGAAACTCATCCTCGGCTACAAGATTAAATGTCCGTGATCGCCTTTCTCGTTCAGACAATTGCAGGCAACACAGAGGTTATCACAAATGTAAACGCTCGGATAATTCGGGAGATTCTCGTTATTGGAGTCTCGTGGTCCGTAAGTGAAAACACGGAGAAATCAACAAGTCAGGCTGAATGAGTGAGGGAATGCGAGGACTCAGGCTGTACATCAGTGCCTTAAGAATGTCATCTGGTTAGTGCCTAGCTGCGCGAATCTTCCCAAGGCTAGGATGTTAACTGATTATAAAAGTCCAGTTTCCACCCTTGACGAACCCGGCTGGAGTTCCGGAGTTACATTTTGGCTGGACTAACGTATGAAAATCGCTTAAGGATCTAGACATCCTTTTCATAAACAACATGGATTTCAACGTGTAGATTTAAGTCGACAATATAGATCTTGATCATCGATCAGATCGTCTTGACTGGGCGCCGCCATTGTGTTTGAAGCAAATGCAAGTGATATGAGAGATGGAATCTGCTTGGTCAAATGGAGGGACATAGAAGGGACATAACTCGTAATAGCCACTGGTGGCGCTACGATCAAGCCTGGACATTCCAGCCTAGTTCGGTAAGGTTGGAAACTGGACTTTTCTAGTCAGTTCACGTCCTTGCCTCGGGAAGATGAGCTGCGCGGTTTAAGCATTCGCACATGATGCTCAAGATTTGGTTTGATTTCTGACATTTCGCGCAGCTTGTGATGCCCACAGTGAGTGAGTGTGCTCCGCCGTGATATTGATGAAATATGCTAAATGCTATTTGAGATTACATCTACTCACCCACATGGGAGAACGTCAACGTCTGTGATCGACTCTGATACACACAAACTATTAGTTTTACAATTTGAGCTGTCCACTGAGTGAATGTAGACTGGCTAGCGTTTAGAGGAGGGCCTTCCCCTCGTACCCTTTGCTGAAGACACCAAAAGACGTTTTCCCTCTACGTCCATAAATCTGTCATGGTAACCTTTTCGCAACCATGCCATTCATGTTAACTCTATATGGTCAGGCAACTGTCGTTTTAACCCCATTCAGTCTAGCCGCGGTAGTATTAATCCCTATGGTAAATCTAAGGCCTCATTTGCCAATATCGTTCAGACCACTGCCATGTTAATCCATTAAGTCTGCGACCATGTTAACTTCCGAAGTGAAGTCCATATTTGCGGCCATGTGTCACGACCATGTGTAACTTCTGGAGGCAGGTCATGGCTATTATATAACACTACGGTCAGTCTAGGGTCATGTTAATCGTCTACGTCAAGATCATGACTATGTTAATCTTCTACAGCTTGGTCATGGCTGCGATATCCCTCTACGGCCAGATCATGGCTACTATATGCCTCTACAGCCAGGTCATGGCTGCTATATCCCTCTACGGCCAGGTCATGGCTACTATATCCCTCTACAGCCAGGTCATGGCTACTATATCCCTCTACGGACATGTCATGGCTACTATATCCCTCTACGGACATGTCATAGCTACTATATCTCTCTACAGCCAGGTCGTGGCTACTATGTCCCTCTACGGCCAGGTCATGGCTACTCTATCCCTCTTCGGCCAGGTCATGG